ACAAAAGACTAACATTAGTGGTTTGTCATTGCCTGCCTCTGCGCAGCAACCCTGGACTTCCTTGGTGGTCTCCCGTCCAAGTACTAACCAGGGCCGACCCTGCTTAGCTTCCAAGATCTGACGAGACTTGGCTAACCTTGGCTATCCAGATCAGGGTACGTATTTTACTACAGATATAGTAATAAAAATCCAGTATTTGAAACCACAACAATATATGTAGAATGGGGGGGGGGATCATACAACCAGTTCATGTCCTGATTATTATTATTATTAAGCTCAGTATGTACATTCTGCAAGATCAAGTAATAAAACCTTTCTCCGATTCCCACTTCAAGCTGCAGGTACAGATCTGCACTTTTTTTAACGTATTGGTGCACGGTCATTCATCTGTTCATCCACCTGCAAACTGGAGTGGAACAACCCCAAGAAAAGGTTCATCGCTAGGTGTGCGGAATCAGCCCTTGACCAACTAAGAACAGAGAGCACAAGGATCAGTCAAGCGATCATTCTTATTTTACATACATATGTGCTATCAAGTCGCAAGTGACTTATGGCCACCCCAGCAAGGGGCTTTCAAGGCAAGTGAGAAGCAGAGCTGGTTGGCTATGGACTCCCTCTGCAGAGTCTTCCTCGGTGGTCCCCCATCCAAGTACTGACCCTGCTTAGTTTCCACGATCTGATGAGACCCCGGCTATACCGAGCCGCATTCCCTCCCTTAGATTTTATATATGTACGTATACAAGTTCCACCAAGTCACAACTGACTTATGACCAGGGGTCATTTTGTAAAAAAAGAGGTGCAGGAGCTCATTAGCATAACTCATTTGCATAACTCATTTGCATAACTCATTTGCATAACTCATTTGCATAACTCATTTGCATAACTCATTTGCATAACTCATTTGCATAACTCATTTGCATAACTCATTTGCATAACTCATTTGCATAACTCATTTGCATAACTCATTTGCATAACTCATTTGCATAACTCATTTGCATAACTCATTTGCATAACTCATTTGCATAACTCATTTGCATAACTCATTTGCATAACTCATTTGCATAACTCATTTGCATAACTCATTTGCATAACTCATTTGCATAACTTGTGCCCGTGGCTGTTTTGGGCGCGGGGGGGGGGTGCACTGCAGCTTACCTGGCTGCTTCTTGCTGCAGCTTACCTGGCTGCTTCTTGCTCTGACGGAGGGCTGCTGGGAGCAGGGGGTGGGGCTTGTTGCATGTGCCTGCCCTCTGGGCTCCTTACTGCCGGAGCTCCGCTCCTGCAGGAAATGACCCCTGCTTATGACTACCCCAGCAAATGGCTTTCAAGGCTAGTTAGAAGCAGAGATGATTTGCCATGGCCTTCCTCTGCAGAGTCTTCCTTGGTGGTCTCCTTTCCAATTACCGACCCTTCTCCGCTCCTGAGATTGGGCTAAACCATGTTGCCTTCCCTCTTCGTCATTATTTTAGGCACCAGGGAAAGGGGGACAAATTTCAACTAACTGCAGAGGTGTTTCCAAAAATAAAATAAAATAAACAATTATATGCAGAACTTTACCAATCTAGTTCACCAACAGGAGACATTTAAATGTGGTGTCCGTGTCTGGTGCCAGGATGAATACCAACAAAGTGAACAGAATAATGCACTGCTAACAAAACAAACTTCTAGGTGAAGAGTGAAGTGTGTGATGGCTTCTGTTCAGTCTCTTCTCATCCGACACATCCTTCCTTCCTTGGCCATTTAGATGTTAAACCTAAGTGCTCAACACGATGTATTTTGTCAAGGCAACATCCAAGGCAAAGATGCGTTTTCGTTTCCCAAAGCCACAAGTTTTATATTTCTTCTCTCGCCACTGTGTGGTGCTATTAACCTTGAGAAAGATTATTCTAACTTTCCCCCCTAAAGTTCATTCAAAAGCATTTGTAGGTGATTTGCTTTGCTTTCACCACAACTTTTTTTTGGGGGGGGAGGGTTTGATTTTACTTTAGAAAAACCCATCTTAACAAGCACATCATATATTTAAATGAAAATGAACCACAGACACCATTCCACATTGCCACGGGCATTAAATCTTTTTTTTTTTTAAATTACATTATTTCCCAAAGTTTGAGTCCAGGGATACCTTTAAAACCAACAAAGTTCAATTCTGGGTATAAGCTTTTGTGTGCATGCATATTTCGTCCCACTTCGTGCACACACACGAAAGCTTATGCCCAGAATTAAACTTTGTTGGTCTTAAAGGTACCACTGGGCTCAAACTTTGTTCTTTTCCTTCAGACCAACACGGCTACCCACCTGAATTTACATTATTTTCCATTCAGTTAACATGAAATTACATTCTTCTTGAAATCTATTCATAAGGCAATGAAATAGAATTCAGGGGTCATTTCTGGCGGGAGCGCACAGGAGCGGAGCACCGCAACCCTAGAGTCGGATTCGACTGGCTTTCGAGCAAGGGAACCTTTACCTTTTACTGTTCCACAATGTTCAAAGCAATTGTTGTGTGTTGTCTCAGTAACCTTTACAACATCCCTGTAAGGGGAGCCAGCGTAATCCCCCCCCCTTGTTATACATAGGAGCTGGGGCAAAGGCTGAGACGGAACAGCTCACTTCATAGTTTTAAGCAAGATCTGAATCAGGCTTCTTCTATCTTACCCTCAAAAAAAAAAAAAAAACCATCAGCTGTCTAATTTCTATCCCTTTAGTCCACACATTCCTTTCTTTACAGGGATAACGAGGGGTCATATCGTAGAAAAAGAAGCGCAGGAGCGTATTAGCATAATTTATTAGCATAACTTATTTGCATATGCCACATCCCCTGACATCACCGGAAGTGTGTCAGAAGGCAACACCCACCGCTCAGGCTCCAGGCTGTTTTGGGTGGCTAGCTATTGGGGGGGGGGGGGAACGTGCAGATCTGTCCTCGCAGAGGAGGGAGAGCGTGTACCTGAATAAGAATTGGTCTTAAAGGTGCCACTGGACTGTTTTGGACCGGGGGCCGGGGGGGGGGGCTCTGCAACTCACCTGGCTGCTTCTTGCTCTGACTGAGGGCTGCTGGGAGCAGGGAGTGGGGCTTGTTGCATGTGCCCACCCCCTGGGCTCTTTACTGCTGGAGCTCCGCTCCTGTGTGCTCCTGCAGGAAATGACCCCTGGGGATAACACTTTCCCACTGGTGGCAACTTAATTACTATGTTATGTCTGGATGCGTGTTGTTTTACAAGAGTAATACTGACCACTGAGGAAGGCCCTAAGGAGCCAAAATGCGTATGGTCTACTGGTCATAAGATATGCCATAATAAATATTTGTATTTTTATAATAACTTATTTTGTTAGCTTGACCCTCGTATATCATGGGTTGAATCCCACCCCCTTTTTCTCGTTTTTTGAGAGTCACCCAATGGCCAACAGCTTGAGGTTGCATTTGAGGGGAAGTGCCCTTGTCCACAGGAAGGAGTTCAGCTGCTGCTGATCGTTTGCCCCTCCCCAAAAACCAACACAGCAGCTGCCTCGCTTTGCCTCGGGGGCAGGGCTGGCTCTGTGTATCCCTGTTAAGGGTTGTGGCCTAAATCCACTGACTAAACACACATGTGGCGGTACTCCAGTGCTAGAAGGTATTCTAGAAGAATGCGCAGAGACACATGATCTTCCGCAGCAACCTGGATTTCCCATTTCCTATGCCAGCACAGATTGAAGGAACTGACGCAAAACGGGTGGTACCTCATCGGACACAAAACTACTCCTCCATTTATTTATTTAGGGGATTTACATGCTCCTATTCAAGGCAGCTTATAATTAAAAATGATACAATAAAACAATAAAAAACATCATTAATTATCAATACACAAACAAGAAGAGGAGATTGGATTTATACCCCACACTTCACTACACAAAGGAGTTTCAGAGCAGCTGACAAACTCCTTTTCCTTCCGCTCCCCACAACAGACACCCTGTGAGGTAAAAGAAGAAGAAGAAGAGATCGGATTTATACCCCACCCTTCACTACCCAAAGGTGTCTCAGAGTGGCTTACAAACTCCTTTCCCTTCCCCTCCCCACAACAGACACCCTGTGAGGTAAAAGAAGAAGAAGAAGAGGAGATTGGATTTATACCCCGCCCTTCACTACCCAAAGGTGTCTCAGAGCGGCTTACAAACTCCTTCCCCTTCCCCTCCCCACAACAGACACCCTGTGAGGTAGGCGGGGCTGAGAGAGCTTTTGTCACAAACTGCTCTTTTTCAAGAACAGCTCTTATCAGAGCTACGGCTTGCCCAAGGCCATCCAGCCAAGTGAAAGTGGAGGAGTGGGGAATCAAACCCGGTTCTCCCAGATTAGAGTCCGCGCACTTAACCACTACACCAAACTGGCTCTCAACAAACTGGCTCTCAAACAAGACGTTAGAATCAAGGCGGGGTAACAAAGACTGCCTTAAACCACCGTTGAGCACTCTGAAAATACCCATGAAATAGACCTCAGGATGGAAACGGATCACAGCACAGCTAAAGAAAATAAACCTCCTTAGTTGAAGACTAGGTGAAAAGAGGCGTTTTGGCACAGCACCTGAAAGACAGCAACAGCAAGCCTAAAGCGGGGAGGGCATTCTGAAGGTGAGAGATGCCTGCCACCCACAGAGAGCAGGAATTGGGAACCAGATCTTAAAGTGGCCAGCTGGATCGTACTGGAAGAGGCGGTCCTTCAGGTACTCCAACCCCAAACTCTTTAGGGCCCTGAAGGTAAGAACCGGCGCTTCGAATGGTGCCCGGAAACAGATGAACCAATGCCGATCTTTCAGGCACACGGGTGATATGACCCATCGTCTTTTCTAGATGGCTCCACAGTAGCGCAAAATACAGTGAAACAATACAACGAATACTGTCTTATGTCCACCTGCATGTACGGATATTAGAGGTTTCCTGTAGACCGGAGCAAGGTTCTGCGCGCAGAATCTGCAGGCGCAAAAGAACACATCTCTAAAAAGAGCAAAAGAGCACAGCTTCTCACTTACATTTTCTATGACAAACGTCCACTCTTTGTCCTCAAATTCCTCAGCGTGGGGATCCTAGAAGAGAGTGATATACAATTTTCAGTCCACTTCTGAACAATGGCTCGAATCCCGCTGTCTCTTTCTTAGTACACCCTGAGCCGCTAACAAAATCAGATGCAGAAGGTAGTTAATTATACTGAACAAAAACAACGTCGGAATGTTGAGGGCTGGCTGTTCCCTCAACATTCAGATGGAAACTGATGAGTTGCCACAGAAAGGATGAGACACTGAGGTGGCCGTTGGCCCTCTACTCTCCCACTAGCCGACTGATGTTCTCTGAGAGACAGTGTGGACGGCAAGAACTCTAAACCCTACATGGCCAGGGTCCGACTTACCTGAGGGACCGCATTTCCCCATATATTCCCCAAAGAGCACTTCGGTCGGGGTCGCAACACCAGCTGGTGACCCCGGGCCCTAGGGAGGCCAAGCTTGTGGCAACAAGGGCCAGGTCTTTTTCTGTGGCGGCTCCTACCTGGTGGAATGAGCTCCCGGAGGAGATCAGGGCCCTGCGGGACCTTATGCAGTTCCGCAGGGCCTGCAAGACGGAGCTCTTCCGCCAGGCTTATGAGTAGGAGCCGCCACGGCCACTGCCACCACCGCTACTTTATTAAGAGAGACCACTGGACGGGTGGGGTAACATCTTCCATCACCCCAGTCTTCCCCACTGTGCGCAAGATGTTAGGAGCCTATTATGCATCTGTAGAACTGATTTTAAATTGTTTTAATCTTGTATTTATATTTGTAATTTGTATACCGAATGCACCTGGTGCCTTATGTGAGCCGCCCTGAGCCCGTTCGCGGGGAGGGCGGGGTATAAATGTCAAAAAAATAAATAAATAAAAATTTAAACATCATGGTCATTTAAAAAAAAAAAATTATTATTTCATTCTTCAAAAAAAATGTGAGTTGTTTTTTTAATGCAATGGCACCAAATGCGGAAGAAGTGGATACCCCAAGTTGGAGAAGACATGGAATGATCGCTCTGCCTAGCCACTAGAAGTCTAGCATTGTGAGATAACCATAAAAACCCACTGCCATGCTTTCTGGTTGTTCCTCACATACTGGGAACAAGGGGCAATACTTCACATGTGACATCTGAAGTTCTTTCTCTTGGTGGTCAAAAGTGTGATTAAGTCACAGCCAATTTATGGCAATCCTGTAGGGCAGGGGTGTCAAACATGCGGCCCGGGGGCCGAATCAGGCCCCCAGAGGACTTCTATCAGGCCCACAGTGGAACTGGGCTGTCTTCTGCTGCTTCTTCCAGTTCTGCTGCTGCTGCGTCATCGTAGGTTTGCAGCTTACAGGTACACACCTGAACAGCATACTCAAGACTGCAACAGCATAGACATTTTGATGCAATAATTCAGAGCAAGAGGTGTCAGTTATCAGACACTGTTCAATAAACAAAATATTGCAAGAGTGCTGATGTTTTAAGCATGTTTTTATTTTAAGTTAAAAAAAACCCCTTTGTGTTTGTGTCCTTTATAAAGTTTATATCTCCGCTACCTGGCATTACATTCTATGACACACATGGCTCGAGGCCCAAAAAAGTCTCATTTATGTCTGATCTGGCCCTCATAACAAATGAGTTCTCCACCCCTGATGTAGGGTTTTCAAGGCAAGAGACTGACAGAGGTGTTGTGCCATTGCCTGCCTCTGCACAGCAACTCTGGACTTCCCTGATGGTTTCCCATCCAAGTTCCTAAATGTCCCACTATGGGAAGCTCCAGACATTACAAACCTTTGACCACCTTGGATGGGACTACACAGACATTATAGAGAAGATGGGCTTCTTCAGTGTTATCACTGACACAGTGTAGACTCCAGAGGTTCCCAAACTTATTTGGCCTACCGCCCCCTTTTCAGGGGGGGGGAAATTACTCAGCACCCCCCTGAACATCTACCTTCAAGAAGTGGACAAAAAGATGCAGTTTGTGGATCTGCACCTGGAGTCTTCCAGCCCACCTGGATCATTCCAGCGCCCCCTAGGGGGCGGTATTGCCCACTTTGGGAACCAGTGGATAGGCTCTGATTTCTGTTCGGTCAAATTCGTTCTGAATGTTCGTGAACGTGTAATTTCTAGGGCTGCCAACTTTAGGTTGGGAAATTCCTGACGATTGGGAAGTGGAGCCTGGGGAGGGGGGGATTTGGGGAAGGGGGGGGATATAATGCAAGAGCGTCCACTCTCCAAGGCAGCCATTTTCTCCAGGGGAGCTGATTTCTGTAGTCTGGCAATTACTTGTGATTCTGGGAGATCTCCATGCCGCACCTGGAAGTTGCAAACCAGGGAGAGAGATCACGGGATGGACGATGGAGAAGAACA